GGGGGGGGGGGGGGGCACATGGTCCTCAGCCAGCCTGTGCCCTCTTGCAGTCTGGGAGCCCTCAGGGGATGTCCCAGCTGCCGCGGAGGTGAGAAAGAGGCTCCCACCGCTGCTGCACTTGCCAGCCATGTGCCCGGCTTGTAGCTGAGCTGTGTTCCCCCTGTGGGAGTGCACTGACCACCAGGGGGAAGCTCCTGCGTTGAGTGTCTGCCCCCTGGTGGTCAGTGGGCATCATAGCTACTGGTTGGTCCACCATTTGGTTGATTTGCATATTAGCCTTTTATTCTATAGGATTGTTTTTCCTTTTTTTTCCCCACAGGAGCAATATGTGTCAATGCAAAAACTAAAAAAAAAAAAAAAGAAAGAAAGAAAAAAAGCCAATGATAAATAAAAATTGTTTATTCTGGAAACCCACCATCCGATATAATCACTGATCACATATCGATGTATACGATGACATTTCCATATTTTTCTATATATGTATACTAGAGACTCAGTGCATGAAATTCGTGCACGGAGGGGGGAGCGTCCCTCAGCCTGGCCTGCACCCTCTCATAATCCGGAACCCCTCACGTAGGGTCCCTAGGCCTGGCCGACAATCAGGGCCTATCAGGGTTTTCCTTCCCCCGGCTGCAGGCAGCTGGCCCCGCCCCCGCCACTGCCACTGCTTGCCATCTGTGTGGCATTGCCACCAGTCTCCTCACGCTGCAGGCAACAGCTGTGGGGTGCGATTGCTTGGCTGGCCTGGGCCTCCCTCTGTGGGGTGATCGCTGGCCGGCCCTCCCTCTGTGGGGCGATCAATCGCAGAGCCCCCAGATCGATCACCCTGCAGAGCGAGGCCCTGCCTACCCACCACAGCACCACCAGCCGGGTGGCCTGGGCCTCCCTCTGTGGGGCGATTGCTGCGCAGAGGGAGGCCCCACCCACCTGCTGCAGCGCCACCAGCCAGGTAGCCTGGGCCTCCCTCTTTGGGGTGATCGTGGATGCCCCCCTCCGCCCCCTGACTGATTGCCCCACTGGCTGGTGGCCTAGGCTTCCCTCTTTGAGACGATCGATGGCAGAGCCCCCCCACATTGATCACCCCATAGAGGGTGGCCTGGGCCTCACTCTGTGGGGTGATCATGGGGCGATGCCGGGGCCCCCCCAAAACAATCGCATCGAACCCGCCTTGGCTGGCCTGGCGCCAGTGCATGTCATAGCGTGGTCATCTGGAAGGTCATCTGGACGGTCATTCTGCTGTTCCGTCGTTTGGTCGATTTGCATGTTACGCTTTTATTATTATAAACTAGAGGCCCGGTGCACAAAAATTTGTGCACTCGGGGGGGAAGGGGGGTCCCTCAGCCCGGCCTGTGCCCTCTCGCAGTCTGGGACCCCTCGGGAGATAACGACCTGCTTGCTTAGGCCTGCTCCTGGGTGGCAGAGGGCAGGCCCAATCCCTAGGTGCAGCCCCTGGTCGGGCTCAGAGCAGGGCTGATTGGGGAGTTGGGGCGCCGCCCCCTGTCATGCACAGAGCAGGGCGGATTGGGAGGTTGCGATGCCACCCTACAGTGCATGCTCAGGGTAGGGCTGATTGGGGGGTTGGGCACCGC